CCCCCCCCCCCCGCGTTTCTAGGCTGCAAGGGAGAAAGGAAGAGGGTTTTCACCCTCTCCGTTACTGAAACCATCCAACACGCCCCCCAAGGTCGGCGGATACCCCGATCCCTAAACCCCACTCCTCAAACCCCAAACTCTGATCCGCAATCCTTCAATCCCTACACCCTGAACCATATTTCTGACCATAATCCACAAACCCTAGGCTTTGGGCTTCGGGTTCAGGGTAAACTGAAGCGAGTAGCATCCTGTGTTTGCAATGGGCTGACGGCTTTCAGCATTTGAATCTTACTTGCTTTGGGAAGTCCCCTTAAAGGTTTTTAGAGGTTTAGGGTTTAGGAGGTTATATGTAGGGGCTTATATTCGGGGTATACACGGTTCAAGGCTTAGGGAAAAGGGTTTAAGGTTCCGGAATGGACAAGGGAACGGCACATGAAATGGGGTTTCGGGGCTAATAGAGACATAAGACATATAGGGCTTGGGATTTAGGGTTTAGGATTTAGGGCTTAGGGTTTAGGATTTAGAGTAATCTCGCTGGTCGCTGGCAGTTTAGGGGTATCTTGTTGGCCGTTGGCAGGATATGAATGAAGATACATGAAAACAACCAACACCCTACAATCGGGGACTATGCAGCTAGCCCTATATAACCTGACGTGCCCCTAGATATCCGATGTAAACCTAGATAATCCCAATTACCCCTGCATTTCGCTGTACATTTATATGACCCCTTATAGCCCTATATATCCCTAAATGATCCCATAGATCCCCCTATGTACGGCAAGCTAACCCTACGCCCTGAACCCTAAACCCGAAACCCTACACCCTAGCATGCCGCACAAAACTCTATAGTCCCCCTTAAGTACATAGAATATGGTGTCTTGGGTGGGATCTTATCATGGTATTGGGTAATTCCATATTCTATCTACTTCAGGGGGACTGCTGGGAAGCTGAAAGCAGGTGAATGCTCGCATGGGCGGTGGTCAGGTGCACGAGACCAACCTTAGGGCTTCCTGGTGCTTGAGGTTTAGGGTTTAGGGTTTAGGGTTTAGGGGGTTCAAGGTGTGTCGGGTTGAGGATGTAGGGTTCAGGGTTGAGGGTTCAGGAAACCTTAAGCCCCTAAACCCAAAACCCTTAAACTCCAAACTCTAAAGTGTGGGGTTTGGGGTCAGGCCTTTGGATTCAAGGTTCAGGAAAGTTTCAGGGCTTCAGAAGGGTTGGGGTAGAGTTGATCCAAAAAACGGACCCCCCCCCCATATGAATCCGTTAATACATTGGGTGGGGAAACTAGGGGATAATCAGGGGGTTCCATTTTTTGAATCCTTTAGGCGGTCTGGGTCAATGTAGATGTCCGACTACTTGGGAATTGGGAAATTATCATCTCCTCATCCTTGTACTTATTACTGGTTAATCGAGAATAAAGGAATACATTCTATAGGGGTTGTACCTAACTAACCACCGGTAAGTTGTACGTTTCTAGGAGAATGTAGTTTGCACACCTTTTTCTGATTGCCTAGGCCAGGCCCCTACACTACAAGGAATACATAGAGGTAATGTGGGGCTTCGTAAGGGCTTTGAGGAATAACATATGCCGAGCTTGTTGGAGGCAACGGTTTCTGGACGACTATGGTTTGATTGAGCGGTTTAGGGTTCAGAGGTGCACTTATTCTGTCGTCTGCAAGAAGACTGCTCCGGGTGCCTGCCCCATTAAGAGCTCGATGTTATTGTCCCAACACTCTAAACCCGTAAGCCCAGAACAATCAAGTTTGCATAGGGTCAAAACACAAACACACCACCCATCCAAAACTCAGAACATGAACCCTACACAATTTCTATAAACCCGAAACCCAGCCTTGGCGAATTTCACAAGCCAAGGTTTGGGGCGTTGACCTTGTGGAAGAGACGCTTTTTGCTGCTGCTGGGGTTCCATGCCGTCCCTTCATCCTAGCCACTTTGCTGGTTCTGACTTCCCGAATCTGCTTTTGGTAGCTAACTTCATGTCTGGACCCCCATAATTTTTGTAGTTTCCTTTTTTCTTGTCCATTATCCCAATATACCCTAAAGTCTAGGTGTCTTCTGGCCACAGATATCCCAAGGTTCCCCCGGTTGAGGTTGAGGTTTTAGGGTTTAGGGTGAAACCCACACTACAAAGTTCAGGGTTGGTTGAGGGTCTAGGGTTGAGGTCCGGGGTTTGGGACTGATGGCCTCCTGGTTTTCTGGGTCATTTTGTCTGGTATTGGGGTTTAGGGTTTCGTGTTTAGGGTGTAGGGTTTAGGGTTGGCATTTGTTTTGCATACTGCCACTTGGTAACCTTGAATTTGCTGCTACTCATACCTCCTCCAGTACATATTCCCTGCAATGCAGCAGTAGAAGAAGAATATGAAGCAACAGTACTGCTGGCACACGTGCTACTTGTAGTAATTCTGCTATTCGTGGCACTGGCATCACTATTTTGGTGAGCAACGCAAACTCCTAAGCCCGGCATTCTGAGCCGTAAAGCTTCAATCCTACACCTTCAAGCTCAAAAAAGATAGATAGGGCCCCCCCGCAAGCAAATTACAAAGCTCGGCGCTAAACTTGCAGAAGGCCCCGCCCAAAATTCAACCAAAATTCCAGGCATGAACCGCATTCACTGTGTATAAGCTGTAAACCCTAAACCCCAAACCCTAAACCCTAAACCCTAAAACCCTAAACCCTAAACCCCAAACCCTAAACCCTAAACCTAAACCCCAAACCCGAAAACCCTGAACCCTAAACCCTAAACCCGAAAACCCTGAACCCTAAACCCGTAAACCCTAAGCCTGGACCGAGCCCTAAAGTTGCTCTCGCGTCTGTCCACGGACCTCGCCTAGCCCCTCTACTTGGAGGTCCAGGGTACCTATAACCTGCTTGGTAATTGTAGTTATAACCCAATTATATCTTGGGTAACTGTAGTTATGGAACTTATATTTAGGGTTATAACTACAGTTGCTAGGTAGGTTATACAGTAAGTACAATGGACCTCCAAGTAGGAGCCGCAGCAGACTTTTAGTCTCACAGGGTGCAGGGTTTCAAGCCTTTGGGGCTTAAGAGCTTCAAGGTTTTCGGTCCGCGCGTTCCATGATCTAAGGCTTCAAGAATTGTAGGGTCAGAAAAGCCTTGGGATCTTGCGTTTTAGGGTCGAGGGTTCTGGGGTGTTAGGGAGTAGTCATAGCAGCTGGGTTTAAGGTTTGTGGTTTAAGGCCTAGGGACATGGGCTTAAGCTCAGGTTGTAGGGCTATTGGGGTTCTAGGGTTTTAGGGCTCATCATTTCATGCTTAAGCCGTTAAGAAAGGTATCCCAACATACTGTAGGGCCAACATAGCTTGGCTAGGGTTCAGGTACAATACAAATAAGAGCAACGCTAGGGATCCAGGCATACCAATGACATCTATATTGAGGTTTTAAAGTCTGTGAACATTGCCTACTTTGGTGGGCTACTTAGATGCGCAGGGAAAGCAATGCTTGTGCATGCTATTTGTAAGGGTTCAAGCCTCTACATGGGTGGTTGTTAAAATTATGATCCCTTTCTGGGTGCCCTAAATATTAGGTGCCGTATTATAATCGGGAGACCTCAATTTCGACAACCACACACATTACCTGTACTTGGAGCACCTTCATCCCTGAACCCTGAACAGCTGGACGCCTACCGCTTTGGGTGGTCCTTAGGGTCTAGGGGTTACCCGCACACTCTCCATCTTCTACTGATATTCTCCCCCTTGTGGTAGCTGCAAAATGAGGTTAGTATAGTTTCGGGCACTTTTGGGCTATTGCTCTGATTTCTCACTACCTGGCACATATCCCTGCGTAGCCCCAGGACCTTCGAACCCTAAACCCTGAACACTAAACAGCCCGCCTACTGAACCTGAGCACTAAACCCTGAACCTAAACAGCCTGAACCCTAAGCCCTGAATCTTAACCTGAACCTTACACCCTCAACCCTCAACCTCAAACTTTAAGCCCTGAACCCGAAATCCTAGACCCTAAAACCAAACCCCCCTGAACCCACAGACTCTAAACCGTAAACCCTTAACCCTAAACCCTGAACCCCAAACCCTAAACCCTATAGACCCGAAGCCCTAAACCCTAGACATCCCTAAACCCTATATAACCCATCATAGTAGTTTCCATGGTCTTTTCCACTGTTCTTTTCCATATGGGGGTGTGCCGAAAAGGGGGGTTGTCGCGTTC